ACCCATAGTCTGCGTCACGCTGCACTTTCGCTGTCTCGAATAAATGTGGATGGTATTATTTATGCGAACCAGACAGAGCTATGCGCGCAAAAAATTTAATCGTATCGATAGTCATCGATACGAAAGAAATGGGAATATGCGAAGATAGAATTTAAAATGAGGCTGCAATAAAAACTGCAAGGTGAACACTTTGCGGAATAGCGGCGTGCAACATCAGCGATTCGTACACGCGCGACGTTTCTGCGGAAAAAAATTAGACGTTGCGAGATAATTAGGTAAATCACAGTTTGTCCGATTTATAATTTGCCTGCGACTGTCCAACGGTCAGATGCGAGAGGCTTGAGCAACGCGTAACCTGGATGCTCGTCGGGAACGTGTAAGTAGTAAGCGCCGATTAATCGAACGTCACGCGTCAGTAGATCGAATCTCCATTGAGCCGATCTCTCATCGCGCTTTACTATCAACGATATTATCAACGATACTACATCAACGATGCTGGTATGCAAGCTGTGTAATTTACATGAAATACGGTGACACATATATTATCTCTTGTTCATGTGGACTAACGCGCTTGAATTGTTGAAGCGTCAGTCAGATAATCGTCATTGACTTTAATATATCGCGTTTTATCCTTCTCTTTCTTCATGCTTTAATTCACATCACGGAGGTGCACCAGGATAGAATTGATTTCAATTGCATTGATGAGGACGGAGAAGGTAACTTCCTCTTCTCGTGTTAGATAATCGTCGGTGACGAAGGTGAGGAGGTGTGATAAAAAGTAAATGAAACGCGGAATTATAGAAGTCCGATAATTCGTAGTGATATCTCCTCGAGAACGACCGCGCGCGATTAGCATAAGATAACAGCCGACGTCCTGCGGACGAAGGATGCACATTCCTGCATATCCTTGACACGATCCGCTCGGCTCCCGCGCTCGTCAAGCGTGCGTCTCGCCGTTTACGGAATTCTCAGGTTTCAAGGCGTCGACGTCGTCACCGTCGTGTGCAAATATAAAAAACGGACGTGCACATACCTCGACGCGAAGTCAGCCGTGCGTGAGAAGATAGACGGAGAGGGGAGGCAGAAAGAAAGAGAGGCAGACAGATCGGTTAATTACTATCCTGCAACAAACGCCGCCCAGGATGCGCGAAGAAATACAAAACCTAACGTCGCAAAGTTCGACAATAGAATTATACATAAAAAGCACAATACTACAATAATAATATCTGTTAGAGCGTTGAGAAAAATTAATTGGATTACGCCGATTAAGCCCAGGAAATGTAAAAATTCACATTTCCAGGGCTAATTCCGCCGAAATGAGAAAGTAATAAAAATCACGTGAATATAAACGATAAGCCAGAATTAATAATGATAACAAAACTAATAAATATTAGAAACAAAAATGAGCGTAACAAAAATGAAATAAATAAGAGAGCAACGTAGATAGCGGAACGGAGAGAAAAGCTCGTTTCGAAAATTCTGCAGAATCGGTAGCAATTGATCATATCGTAGAATGATTTACAACCGATAATGTCCGTGATTTAAATTCCCGCTGGATGGCACATGCATATATGTTCAGTTGAATGGCAAGTGAAGAAATTGTGAATAGTATGCAAATGTAACTAGCGAAAATGATCTCGTGAGCGGAAACGAATGTGACGGCGATGGATCTTCTGACCGGTAACGGCGATCGATTAATATTCGCGGTGAGTCGATCTATCGGCAGGAAACCGGAGGGCCGCGATCAGCCGCGCGCATTTCCGGGATTAATTACAGAGAAGAGAAACCAAATTGAAAGTCTATCCCGGTACTATTTTATGTTAAAATCGAAAAGACCGCGCGGAAAGAAAAAGAAGAGAGTCTCTTTCTCTCTCAAATCCTAATAAATTTAATAAAAAATGTATAATCGAGATCATTTTGCAAACAAGACATTCTGAATGTATTACTCATTAGTATTTTTATTACTCATTATTATTTTTAGTTTACGCTCATAATCAGAACGGCATAATAACGAGGATTTCTGTAATAGTCAATTAAAACCTGTTCGTGTCAGAGCAAGAGTGATGACGTCAAGGATTTTTCACTTCCCGCAAGAAGAGAACAGCTAATTTATATACACTTCGGTTAAATAAATCTCAAGTAAAGTCTCTCGAGTTTGGACTAGGAACGCATTTCGTACGCTTCCAGGAAATTTGACGAACAGAATGCTTCCGCGAATAATTTCGTTTATAGTTAAACCAGTCGAAGGCCTCATCGGAAAGGTGCATTTATCTTGGTGGATGGACATGATGCAATGCGCTTGCAATAACAAGACGTTGAAATCTCGTTGGGAAGGAAAACTAAAAAGAATTCCGTCCCCGACACATTTTTAGTAAAAATTTCAATTTTTTCTAGGCAATCGTCACGAGAATAATTTTGTAACGTACTTTTTATAACGATTTCGATTACTGTCTGCAGAAAGAATACCTGTAAAGTAATAATATCTTGCACACTTTCGTAACACATTTTTTATTTCAAATTATATCCTGTATCTCATATTCGATCATACATCCTGAATATTACACCGCTGTTTATTATCATAAATAAGGAAATAACGAGTGTTAGTTACATATGTATGTTAATGCTACTGCGCATCCGTTGTAATGATTAATAATTTTCATAATTATCACCAGTTAAATAACCGCATCGAACAATATCAAAGAGAATAATTTACGCATAGATAACTACTTAAAGCACGCACAATTCTGACTCATATAAGCTGACGATTTGCATTCGCAAACGATCTTCCGTATGGCGCAAGCATTTGAATTGGTAATTTTGGAAGGAATATTGTCTGTAGGAAAATTAACATCTCCTATACAGAAATCGAAAGTTATGTTTTAAAGATTTTCTCCTTTGAAATAAAAGAAATATATAATTAGTAAATTTAATAATTATTAATTAAATTTCAATTATTTTTGTGCACAAAACACACACATACATACGCACTAGTTTAAAAATGAATAATTCAATTTTAAGAGTAACGATTTTCAAGAAACTCAGAATTTCAGATCCAACATTTGTATCAATCAAGGTGTCTTCAATTTATCTATATGTTTTTTTAATCAATTTCTCTGTGTGTTTCTTTATCAGTTTTATTTTGTAAG